GGGATGGGATGGGGTGGGATGGTAATTGTCTGGGATGGGATGGGATGGGAATGGGATGAGGTGGAGTTGGGATAACACAGGGTGGGACAGGGATCAGGAGACTGGGACAAAGATGGATGGGGACAGCGAGAGGGACAAGGATTGGAGGAACAGAGCTGGAGATGGGGATAGGAACCCCCATCAGAAGCAGGACCTGATCTACCAACCCATCCATCTAGCCAACCTCTCCATCCCTTCCCAGGCTCAGATGAAGGCGCCCACCCCCTGGAACAATCCGTGGATCCTCTCCCTGACCCGGACCCTCTGGAGGGTCCGGGCCCGATCCCAGGGCCGCCCCCGGAGGCCGCGGAGGCCGATCCCCCGGCCCGGCCCGAGTCCCCGTTCCCGGGCAGCCAGCAGCAGTGGCTGGCGCTGCGGCTGCACCGCGCTCGCCGCTGGCGCGTGCCAGGCCTGCCGTGTGTCGGGAACAGCCCCGAGGGCTGAGCCAGAATAAACCTGGAAATGGCACGGCCGTGGCTGTGTCTGCGGGGTGGGATATTGGGGTACGGGGCTCTGGCATCCCTGTTGCTGGTGGGCACAATCAAACTGGAATTTTTACGAGGTTAGGGGGTCCTGGAGGGGCTGGGGGTGCAGGGTGGGATTCCCCTGGGGGTCCGGGGGGATATTGCAGGTGGATAGCTGGAGTTCCAGAGAGGTGCTAGGGAAAGCTGGGGCTCCTTTGGGTACCCCCAGAGAGGCTGGGGAGGAGATTAACAGGCACGACAAAGTGGGCATCAGGTGTGGGAATCCAGGGATTCCCTCTGGCTGCCCTGGCACCCTGGCAGGGGTCAGGAACCCCCCTGGACAGAGCCCCCAGAGACACTGGCTGTGATCTCTGGCCATGGAAAAGAGTTTGCAATCTTACAGGATGAATTACCAGCTCTGAGTGTTTGATATCAGTAATAATTAAGTGTGGCACGGGTGCAAAAGTAAAATTTTAGGATTCTAGATGGGGGGTCCAAAGGGGACAAGATGGAGGAAATTGGGTGTGCCTTGTCCTTTTTCTCCTTCTTCATGCCCTCCATGTCTCACTGTGGTGTTGGCATTTTTCTGTTGGCTCAGGCTGGGGACACACTGTCCAACGTAGGTGACAGATATTGGCACGTTCTTGTAAATCCAGCCCAGGGAGTTTCTGGTATTTAATGTTTGTCACATCCCACTGAGGGCAGAGCCCCACACGCTGCCCTGCAGGACAGAGCTGGGCAGGGCAGCAGAACATGTGAGAGATCAACAGAATAAACAACCTGGAAACCAGCACAGACCAATTCTGGCTTCTGCTTTGGCAGCGGGGCTGACAGACAGAGACTTTCTACAACCTCAGAATCATCAATACCACGGATTCCCACAGTGAGGAGCGGGGCCGGTCGGGCCACCCCGCGGTGTCGTTGTCCCGTTGTCCCCTCGGGGTCTCCTGGAGGACCGAGCCTGCGCGTGGTCCTCCCGCCCGCCAGGGGGCGCTGTGCGACGGGCCCGTCCGCCGCCGGCGCAGCGGTGACGTCATCGGCGCGACAGCCCTGATGGCGGGCGAGCGGCGGCGGCGCGGCGGGGATGGACCGCGGGAACGGCCCCGGGAGCGGCTCCGGGACCGCGACGCCAAACTGCGGCCACACCAAAAGGCGCCGCGAGGGTCCGGCCGGGGCCGGATGCTGCCGGCGCTCGCAGCGGCAGCGTTGGCGCTGGGTCTGGCGGCGGCGGCGGCGGCCGGGTGGAACCGGTGGAGCGAAGCCTCCCGCCTCGTCACCCCGCACCCCGCGCCCCCCGCAGTCCCCCCCGGCTCCACCGGGCCTCTCGCGTCGCCCACCTATTTCTGGGGCACGTACCGGCCTCACGTCTACTTCGGGATGAAGACGCGGAGCCCGCGCGCTGTCGTGACCGGTGAGGGGCGCGGGGGGCTCCGCCCCGCCCTGGGGCTCGTCCGGGCCCGCTGCCGCCTCCGGGACCGCCCGTGACACCTCCCCGCCCCTCCAGGGCTGATGTGGCTCCGACACGGCGGCAGCTTGCGGCACACGAGCGAGCAGAACGACGGCGTGTCGCGCTACGGGTGGCTGATGCACGACGGGGAGAATTTCGGCGTGCAGGAGATCCGCGACGAGGGGCTGGTGCTGCGAACCGAGTTCGTGAAGCAGCCGGGGGGAGAGCACGGCGGCGACTGGAGCTGGCGGATCACGGTGAAGACGGAGGTGAGGGGGCGAGAGCGGGAGAGGGGTTGGGATGCTGGGGAGCTTTCCTCACCCTCCTCTTCCTCCTCCCCAGGGCAACGGCCCGGCCCCTCTCCTGTCCCTCTTCTTCTACGTGGCCACGGACGGGCAGGGGACGCTGCGGCCGGTGCTGGAGAACGGGACACGGCTGGCGGCCGTGGCGGGGACGGCGGAGGAGCTCGGGGACTTCACCCTCACCTTCCTGCCCCCCACCGGGGAGGCCGGGGAGGGACCCAAGTATGCCAGGTGAGTGTCGGGGCTGTGACCCCCAAAATCCCTTCCGTCCGCCGCCGTGTCCTCCAGCCCTGACTGTCCCCTTCCCCCCCAGTTACAACTTCCTGGCCGCGGGCGTGCCGGGGCTGCACCGCCTCACCGACCTGGTCCGGCACAGCCTCCGCGACGGCTCCGTGTTCTCCCCGCCGGGCCGTCCCCGCCGCCGCTATTTCGGGGTGTCCGGCACCGGGGGGCTGCCCGGGGAGCCCCCGCGGGGGCAGCTGCTGCTGCACCAGGTGACACTGGAGCCGCCGGCGGTGCTGGAGGCGGCGCTGGAGTCGGGCAGCGCGGCGGCGGCGCGGCGCGGGAGGCTGGCGGGGCCGGCGCTGAGCGCGGCGCTGGCCCGGCACGCGGCCGCCTTCGAGCGGCGCTTCGAGGACACCTTCGGGCTGGGGGCGCGCGGGGCGTCCCTCCCGCAGCGCCGCTTCGCCCAGGCCGCGCTCAGCGAGATGCTGGGCGGCGTCGGCTTCTTCCACGGCCGCTCCCTGCTGCGCTCGGAGCGCCGGGAAGAGCCGGTGCCCGGCGCGGAGGCCGCGCTGTTCACGGCCGTGCCCTCGCGCTCCTGCTTCCCGCGGGGCTTCCTGTGGGACGAGGGCTTCCACCTGCTGCTGCTGGGCCGCTGGGACCCCGCGCTGGCCCGCGACATCCTCGCCCACTGGCTGGACCTCCTCAACGCCGACGGCTGGATCCCGCGGGAGCAGATCCTGGGGGAAGAGGCGCGGTCCCGTGTGCCCCCCGAGTTCGTGGTGCAGCACAGCGAGACCGCCAACCCCCCGACGCTGCTGCTGGCGCTGGAGCGGCTGCTGCCCGACGCGCCCCTGCCCTACCTGCGCCGCCTCTTCCCGCGCTTGCACGCCTGGTTCCAGTGGCTGAACCGCACCCAGGCCGGCCCCGAGCCCTTCACCTTCCGCTGGCGTGGCCGCGACACCGACCCCGAGCGCTTCCTGAACCCCAAGACTCTGTCGTCGGGGCTGGACGATTACCCCCGTGCCTCACACCCGTCCGCCCAGGAGCGGCACCTGGACCTGCGCTGCTGGATGGCGCTGGGCGCCCGCGTGCTGGCGGCGCTGGCCGAGCGCCTGGGCGAGCCGGCCGCGCCCTACCGCGCCACGGCCGCCGCCCTGAGCGACAACGACCTGCTGGACCGCCTGCACTGGGCGCCCGAGCTGGGCGCCTTCGCCGACTTCGGCAACCACAGCGCGGCCGTGGCCCTGCGCTGGCACCGCCCGCCCGCCGCGCCCGGCGGGCCCCCGCCGTCCCCGCGGCTGCGGCGGGAGGTGCGGGAGGCGCCGCGGCCGCGCTTCGTGGACGCCCTGGGCTACGTCAGCCTGTTCCCGTTGCTGCTGCAGCTGCTGCGGGCCGACTCGCCGCGGCTGCCGGCGCTGCTGGGAGCCATGCGGGGCGAGCGGCAGCTCTGGACGCCCTTCGGGCTGCGCTCGCTGGCCCGCGACAGCCCCTTGTACCTGCGGCGCAACACCGAGCACGACCCGCCCTACTGGCGCGGCTCCGTCTGGGTCAACATCAACTTCCTGGCGCTGCGGGCGCTGCGCGGCTACGCGGCCGCGGCGGGGCCGCACCGGGAGCGCGCGGCGCAGCTCTACCGGGAGCTGCGGCAAAACCTGGTGGCCAACGTGTTCCGGCAGTACGAGGCCACCGGATTCCTGTGGGAGCACTATCGGGACAGCGACGGCGCCGGGCAGGGCTGTCGCCCTTTCGCCGGCTGGTCCGCGCTCGTCGTGCTGGCCATGGCTGAGGACTATTGATGTGGGGGTGTCCCTGTGCCCCCGGCGTGCTCAGGGCCAGGGGAGGTGGTGGGGGGCTGTGGCGGAGCCCCCCCATTGCCTCCCCTGCAATAAACCCCCACGACTGTCGCCTCTCGCCGCCCGTGTCAGGGTGTCACAGTGTCGCCTTTGTTTTGCCCCTTCCTGTGCTGTTGGAGGTCGCCCCCCAGCCCAGTGCAGCCATCACAGGGGTCGGTGGTACTTCCACATCTCTTTAATGGTGGGAGAAGGTGCCGGGACCACCCACCCCCACGGTGTCGGGCACCCCCCAGGCAGCAGCACCGGGATCGCAGGGGAGGCCCCAGGAGCAGTTTGGAGGGGAGCGGGTTCCAGCAGGACCCCGCCACACTGCCAGGTGGGTGTCAGTCTAGGTGAAGGGCCCCCAGGGGCTCCGTGATGAGTCCAGACCCCACTTGGGGGTCTTGGTGGGGGGCTCAGACGGGCAGCATGGGTGAGCCAGGCCCCCCGCCACCCCCTGCTCCCCCACAGCCCTCAGCCTCGCCCTCCTCCTCCTCTAGGCCCCGGCCCACCTCGATGCCCGAATCCCCTGTGAGCCGCCGGTGCCGCCCGGGGCATCCCCCTGGCACCGCTCTGCTCCCCCCGTCCTCGCCCCCCTGGGTGATGGAGCAGGGGTGGCCCTCGGCCTCACACAAGTCCGGGGGCACTTGTTTGGGGGGGCCCCCGCGGGCCGGCAGCTCCTCGGGCAGGGGCAGGTCCCAGCTGGCACCGGTGCCGGTGCTGCTGGAGCCGTAGTCACGGCCGGTACTGCCACCCCCCGTGCCCGGGCCCGGCTCTGGGTCCGTCTCGTCGGTGCCCGGCGCCGAGAGCGAGGAGCTGCTGGGGGAGGAGGCGCAGGAGCAGCCGCAGGAGCAGGAGCTGCAGCCCCTGGAGGAGCCGGGCGACAGCGAGGGGCTCCCGGGGCTGTAGGGCGGCGGCGGCGTCCCGGGGCGCTGCGCCACTTCCTCGTACGCCGGCAGCTTGAAGGAGGCCAGCAGCCCTGGGAGGGGGGGACAGCATGGGTCAGGGGGACACCGGGGACACGGGCAGACAGCGGGAAAAACCCCCGAGAGGATGGAGATGGAGGGCACAGCTTGGGGCATGCGGGGGATGTGGGGTACAGACAGGGCATCCAGGACTTTGGGGGGTGCTGATTCAGAGGTCCCCCGTGAAGATGGTACAAGGGGCTGGGGGCGACACGTGGGGTGCTGAGGGTCCCGATTCACCGAGTCCCCACCACCCAGGGGCTGGGATTGGGGGGAGAAATCNGGGGGGACAGCATGGGTCAGGGGGACACCGGGGACACGGGCAGACAGCGGGAAAAACCCCCGAGAGGATGGAGATGGAGGGCACAGCTTGGGGCATGCGGGGGATGTGGGGTACAGACAGGGCATCCAGGACTTTGGGGGGTGCTGATTCAGAGGTCCCCCGTGAAGATGGTACAAGGGGCTGGGGGCGACACGTGGGGTGCTGAGGGTCCCGATTCACCGAGTCCCCACCACCCAGGGGCTGGGATTGGGGGGAGAAATCTCGGAGCCCGTCACTCACGGAGGTCCCCCGAGGAGGGCGGGTACTGGCAGGCACCGTGGTAGGCGATGAGGTTGATCTCCCTCTGCCGCTGCTGCTGCTGCAGGCGCAGCTTGGCCCGGCGGTGCCGGAAGGCGCAGCAGCAGCTCAGCAGGATCAGGATGGTCCAGAGCAGCCAGAACCCTGCGGGAAACCGGGGAGGACGCGGGGCGGGGGGATCACCTTCACACGGAACCCCCGTTCCACCGGCGGTCCGGCCGCAAAGCCCCGAAGCCTCAGTCCCCCCCAGGGGCTCAGCTCCTCCGCAGCGCTCAGCCCCGAGCCGCAGGAGCCTCCCGCCATCCCCTCCGCCCGCTCCGTTCCGCCCGGTTCCCCCGCACTCACACCACAGCTCGTAGTAGTAGGTGCAGCAGCCGCTCTCCCCGCAGCAGTGCCCGGTCTCGCACACGTAGGGCCGGTTGTTCACCCCCGGGCAGAACTCCCGGGCCTGCGGGCACGGCCGCACCGTCACCGCAGCCCCGCGCGCGGCCCCCCCGCCCCGGCCCGCCCGGTACCTGCGGGTGCTGCCGGCCCAGCAGCGCGGCCCAGGCCCCCTCGCCGCTGCCGGGCCGCTCCATGGCGCCGCCGCCGCCGCCGCCGCCGCCTAAAGCCCGCCGCGGCCCCGCGCCCGCCCGGCCGCTGCCCCCGCCGCCCGCCGCAGCAGCCGCCGCCGCCCCGACACCGCCGCCGCCGCCGCCGCCATCGCGGCCCCCGCGGCCGCCGCCGCCGCCCGGGCCGGGGCCGTCGCCGCCGCCATCACGCCCGGCCCGAAATCCCGCCCCCTCGGCCAGCGGAGACCAATCAGCAAACGCTCCGCAGTCGACAGCCAATCGGCGCTGGCGCCGCCGCCCGGCGGCAGCCAATCGCGCGCCGTCTGCCTGAGTCTCACGCCCAACAACAGAGACAAAGAAGCCGAGCACCGCCTCCGAGCAATGATTNCCGCAGCAGCCGCCGCCGCCCCGACACCGCCGCCGCCGCCGCCGCCATCGCGGCCCCCGCGGCCGCCGCCGCCGCCCGGGCCGGGGCCGTCGCCGCCGCCATCACGCCCGGCCCGAAATCCCGCCCCCTCGGCCAGCGGAGACCAATCAGCAAACGCTCCGCAGTCGACAGCCAATCGGCGCTGGCGCCGCCGCCCGGCGGCAGCCAATCGCGCGCCGTCTGCCTGAGTCTCACGCCCAACAACAGAGACAAAGAAGCCGAGCACCGCCTCCGAGCAATGATTGGCGGCCGCGGCGGCCAATCGAGGAAGGAGCACCGCCCCCGTGCCGTGACGGACAGCGGCGCTCGCCAATAGCAGCCCAGCCCCGAACTCGATGGAGGGCGCGGCCTCCCAACCCGCCCCGGGGCGGGCGCTCGGCACAGCGCGGCCAATTGGAGAGCACGCAGCCTTTCCACCGTCTGATTGGCAGCGCGTCTGACCAATCAGCGTCGCCGTTCTACTCTGGGCGGGTCTCCAGCCAATGGGCGCTGCCGTCCTCCCGGGCCCGCGGGACGGACCATATCGCACTGGGGGGGGATTGGAGTTGGGCTGTTCCACTCCCGGGGGGACCGTACCATGATGATCTCGGGGGTGTCGGACTGTACCACCGCGTCCCCGGGGGGGGAGTTCCTCCCCATCCAACAGGCTCGCACACGCTCCTTCAACAGCAGCTTTAATCAGCTCCATCACACCAGGACCCACCTCAGGACCACCCTCAGGCGCCCCCAACCTCCTGGAGCCCTCTGCAGCTCCAATCCCGGCTCTCCGTATCCACCTGGAGCAGCCAGACCTCCCCGTGTCCCTGAGGAACCGCCGCTCTCTGGGCCCCTCGTGTCCTCCACGTCCACGCCAGAGGCTTTGAAACCCCGTTCTGCCCTCGGGATCCACGGGGAATGTCTGGAGCTGCTCGCAGTGGAGATCTCCAGGTCTCTCTGCACCCACGGGGACAATCCAGGAACCTCTTGTATCCACACGGCCGGGGTGATCTGGCCACGCGTCCATGGCAAAGCAGCCACAGCCCCCGGAGAAGAACTGGAGCCCACGCCAAGGGTCCATAGCCCCTGCAGAGGGTCTGTAGCCCCAGAGAAGATCCGTAGCCCACGCCGAGGGTCCATAGCCCCAGCAGAGGGTCTGTAGCCCCAGAGAAGATCCGTAGCCCACGCTGAGGGTCCATAACCCCAGCAGAGGGTCTGTAGCCCCAGAGAAGATCCGTAGCCCACGCTGAGGGTCCATAGCCCCAGCAGAGGGTCCGTAGCCCACACCAAGGGTCTGTAGCCCACACCAAGGGTCCGTAGTCCATGCCGAGGGTCCCTAGCCCACGCCGCGGGTCCGTAGCCCTTGGAGAAGATCCCTAGGCCACGCCGAGGGTCCGTAGCCCATGCCGAGGGTCTGTAGCCCATGCCGAGGGTCTGTAGCCCATGCCGAGGGTCCCTAGCCCCAGCAGAAGGTCCGTAGCCCCAGCAGAGGGTCCGTAGCCCACGCCGAGGGTCTGTAGCCCCAGAGAAGATCCATAGCCCATGCTGAAGGTCCCTAGCCCTTGGAGAAGATCCATAGCCCACGCCGAGGATCTGCAGCCCATGCTGAGGGTCCGTAACCCACGCCGAGGGTCCGTACCCCCCCGAGCGGGCTCACCCCGCGCTCTGCAGCAGCTGCAGGTTGCGGCGGTAGCAGCCCAGGCTGCAGAGGGGCCGGCCGGTGCGGGCGCAGCTGTAGCGCCGGGCGTTGGTGCAGCCGGGCACGGCGCAGGGCCGGGCGGGCGGCGGCGGCGGCGCGGCGGCGGCGGGCAGCGGCGGCGGCAGCCCGGCGGGGAAGGAGACGGTGACGCCGTCGGCGGCGCTGCGGTAGCGCACGGCGG